AGAGAGTAATAGACATTCCAGAGAAAAATGCATATTCCAGAGAAATTTGCAAAGCAGAGAAATTCATAGACAAACCACAGAAACATGTTCAAGAATAAGATCAAAACACAGAGAAATAACTTTTTTTCAAAATACACATGTCAGAGAAAATTCAAAGAAGAAACATTTATTCCAGTCCATAATATTAAAATGCCAGAGAAAATTAAACATGATAGAGACACACAAGGGAGGAAAGTGATGTGATGTGGTCAGAGAAAATTATAAATATCAGAGAAACTTAGACACAGACAAGAGAGTGATAGACATTCCAGAGAAAGATAAACATTCCAATTAAAAATATATATTACAAAGAAATTTACAAAGCATGGAAATTTATAGACAAAATCACAGAAACCTGTTCAAGAATAAGATGAAAACACAGAGAATTGTTTTTTTCAAAATAAGCATGCCAGAGAAAATTGAAAGAAGAAACATACATCAAGCAAAAACCAGAGAAATTCAAATGCCAGAGAAATTTACAGATAAAATCACACAAACATGCTCAAGAATAAGTTCAAAACACACAGAAATAACTTTTTCCAAATTCAGGTAGCTTTTTGTTACGAAATTGAAACCCTAATTTATGGAAGGTTAATATAAAATGCAATTAACTATATTTCCAGAGAAAATCTAGTTGTATTGTAGAAAAAACTTACCAGAGTTAGAATGAAACTTGAATGACGAACTGATATGGCTTGAGATGAAGATGCGATGTGACGAAGATGAACTGAGATGACGAAGATGAACTGAGATGAAACTTGAAGATGAACGGGGTCAGAGAAATTTGTGAGGAAGGAATGGGAATGATTTTTGCAGAAGATAACGAAGCTCTAATGTCGATGGTGAAGATGATATTGAAACCCTAGTTCTGCCGGTCTCTTGTTCGTGAAGATGGTGGATGCTTGGAATGGAACTCAGACGTGGGAATGAGTTTCGTTTCTGTGTTGATTTTTGAAAGGATATTTTGGTCCACAAAATAATTAAAAACGCGCGCCAAGTTGTTCAGGAACCTGATGCATCACTATTTTTTTTTTGTGTCATTTATCCTCTAAATTATTATTATTAGGGACCTTAAAAAAAATTTCCCTTATAAATATTAATAATTATAATTATAATTTTTTTCACCTTTTATAAATAATTTTTTCCCCTAATCTGCTGATATGTTATTGTCCCTTAAAACAAAGATTCTGTAGGAAAGCCCAGTTTAGGGTCTTGAGAAAAATCACGGAACACTTTCTGTAAACCCTCCATAGTTGAAATCAAAATCAAAATCAATAGTCTCAGCCTCAGTCTATCAACATTACACAAAACCCTACTACACACAGTACATACAGACAGTGGAAGATCACCGAATTTGTGTGATTAGCGCGCTGAACACTCCCACTATTTTCTCTTTTTTAGTTTTTTAGGGTTTTGGGGCTTTTTCAGAATCTATTTCCTATTTTTATTTATAAAAACAAAAAAAAAGTTTTTTTGAATAAACTTAAAATAAAAATATATATACGATTTTTTGTTGGAGCAAAAGCAAATATAATTTTAAAAAAAAATTAATTTATGTTTTTATTATCATCAAACTAGGGAATGAATAATAGTTAGTTTTTTTTAGTACTTGCCTCCCAATCAGAAAGGGTCATTTACATGAATTATTATTATTACTGTTATTATTATTTTGCCATTTCACTCTATTAAAGGTTGTTTATTTAATTAAATTAAATAAATCCGCGTCTTTTTTCAATATCATGTTAGCTTAGATCTTTTCCTCTTGTTTGTTATATATTAGAGCACCTTTAAGCCCCGCTTGTTTCAGAGGTAAAATAAAAAGGATTCATAATGAAGGAATTGATAGTGAGGGAAGTAAAATTATGTTTGTTTTGATGATAGTTGTTAGTGTAAGGATTGTTAAATTATTTTTATATAAAATAATAAAACAAATAAAAAAATACAAAAATATTAAACATTAATGTTAAAAAAAAAAAAATCCAACATGTAAAAAGTAAAAAAAATAAAACAAATAAAACAATGATTTTTACTTAAGAAAAAATATATAAAAAAAATTAAACATTAATGTTCAAAAAAAATGCCCAACATGTAAAAAAAAATTTTAAAAAAATTTAAAAAATAGTCCGGCAGACTAAAAATTTAATACCATCTCCACCTCCACCTCCTCGATCCCATTCCCCCTTCCAAGGCCTATCCTAATATCAAGCGATTGGGAGTCCTCTCCCCATCTGTCAAAACAAACATGACATATAATGGGTCCTACCTTACTATCAATCCCAATTCCCTCTCTATAATCCCAAACAAATGAGGCCTAATAGTAAATGTTATAATAGCATTGTCATTGTTATAATTTGACATAAATAGTAAAAACTAGTAGAATTATTGTAATGGTATTCTAATAGTCAGATGTCATTTTGACATAACTAAATACAAAAATTGGTGTGTTCGGAAACACACTAATTTCTGTGTTTTTCTGTATTTGGTTCTACCAAAATGGCAGTTTTGCAAAATTTTATTTGTTTTGTTGGAAAGAAAGAAGGTTTTGCCTAAATTGGCACATATGACAGCTGTCAAAATTTGTATCAAATTTGGCACAAGTTTGGTATTTGCCAAATTTGACAATTGCCATATGGCATGATTGGAGCACCATTTTCTTTTCTAGTTGCCAAATTATAGCAATAACGGCTCTAATGGTAAACTATTGGAGATACTCTTACTATATCATCTTAAGTGGTGTTTTATAAAGATGAAAACTGAAAACTAAAAGTTACGTATTGAAAATTGAATACAAAATTTTTTAAGCTGAAAAATTATTTGATAAAAATTTAAATGCTGAATTAAAAATAAGTTGTTCAATAAGTATAAGATCAAATTTGAAATTTATTATTTTTAAATTATATATTTTAATTTTTATATTGTAATGGTGGTGGTAATGGTGGTGATGTTGGTATGCTGGTGGTATGATGGTGGTGGTGGTGGTGGTGGTGGTGGTAACGGTAGCGTTAACATTAATGGTGGTGGTAGTAGTGGTAACAATGGTAATGGTAATAAAAAGATGATGATGTTTATAACAATAATGATAATAGTAATGAAGGTGGTAGTGGTAGTAGTGATGGTGGCAACGGCGACGGTGGCACGATGGTGGTGATTGTGGTGGTGATAGTAGCAATGGTAGTTGTGGTGGCAATGGCTTGGTGATGTCATGGTCATAGCGATAGCAATAGTAGTGATGGTGGTAGTAGCGGTGGTTGTGATAGTGGTAGTGATAATGAGTTTATAATAATATATATCAATAGTTATATTTAATATTTATAAGTTACCTATGATTTAATAAGTTTCATATGATTTAATATTTTCTTAAATTTTAATTTACATTTTAAGAGGCACTTAAGTTTGTAAGTGATATCAATTGTGATTATCAAATGGACTTAATTGATTATTATTTAATACATTCAGTTTTAAGTGCTGAATCAAATTATCAAACACCCTCTTAATTTGTTTTCTTATATATGTACCATTTCACAAAAATATTAATTTTTAATTCTATCTTTCCTAATTTTACTACACATACATCTAAATATTTCCATCTCAACTATACTAATTTTATATAGAGTAATGATTAAGAGCTATAAAACTAGAGCTCTAATTTGAGCTCTAGTGATATGACATAGAAAACAAAAAAATAAGCAAGTATAAACATCACATCACAGGGTGAATTTCACCATTAGAGCTTCTCCTAGAGTTTCAAAATTAGAACTTCCAATCATTTTTGTTTTATATATATGTTATTTTTATGACAATTTTTTTTTTCTTTTCTAAAACAATAAAAATAAATTCACTTTATCACCTTCACTATGGATAATTTTCACTTTACCTCTTGCCCCTTGATCTTTTGATTTACTTCATATGAGTTATACATATCAATTTTATGATCACAATGCTCATTCAAAAACAAATTTATTCACACTACCAATGTATTATAGGCAATGTTGCTCAAGTTGCAATGCACACAAATAGCCAGAAAATTCAAGAATTAAATCAATTCGACCTTTATAAGTTGGATTGGTTTGATTTTTTTTTATTTTTAAAAAATATTAGTTCAACTTGGAGTTTTAAAATCATGTCCAAATTGGACTGATTAACTCAATACATAAACATAGGATAATGTTGTGGTACACACTCTAAAAATAGTGTACACCATATCTAAGTTATGTCATTTGTGAGTTTGATTATCACAAATGGCATAACTAAATACAAAGAGAGTGTAATTTTTTTTAAAAAAAATTAAGTTATTACAAAATATCATATGAAGTATAATAAACAACTCCTTTATTATAATTAAAATAATATCATAACTAATATCACAATATATCATAACTAATAACATAAGTAATAATTTATAACCATTAATACAAAAATCATAATTAAGGTTTCGTTTGGCAAGTGACTTTTTTAGTTAAAAAGTCAAAAAATCACTAAAAAAATCAAAAAACCAACAATCCATACCAAAAAGTCAAAGATTTTCTTTTTTCTCTACTTTTTGTACATCTTTTCGTAAAAAGCCAAAAAGTTATTACAAACATACTAATTTTTTTTATATTACATTTTAACCAAAAAATTAAAAAATTATCAAAAAAATATGTTTCCAAACGAGGCCACCCAATAGAATTTCTCGTAATTGTAAATTTAGTCCTAACACGAACCAAATCCCTAATGCCAAATAGTTGTATTTAGTAGTACAACCGTAATCAGAGGTTGAGGCCAACAATTGTCCACGCCCAAAAAAATAAAAGCCAATCTATCCCCACCCCATCTTCCCCAACCACTCATCATCACCCTCTTGCACTTGCCTCCCCACCACACACACACCTCCCTTATCCTTCCTCAACACCAACAACAACCAATAACAACTCACAAACACTACATGTACTACTATATTCAACAATATTGTAGATCCCTAAAAAACACAATTTTCACCATCCTCACTTATCTGTGATTAATCCAGAAAGGAAAGAACAAAAAACAAAAACAAAAACAAAAATACATAATGAGGTCCCAACTTTGGGGTCTGTAGCATTGTTATTATGTGAAAAACAAACAGAACAAACAAATTAAGAGCATGGTTTCTCTGAGGAGATTAAAAAGAAAGTAACTCTGCAACTGCGTGAACCCATCCTTCATTTTCTCCAAAAGCCTCACACCTTCTATCCCTATACACTTCACTGCTGCTGCTAATGGCTTCCCTCTCCCTCCCAAACCACTCTCTTCCTTCTCTACTTCCATCCCAATCTCCTAAAACCCCATCATCATTATCACCTCTCTACCCCTCCATTCTCCCCAAATCATCATCACATTCTCAATTCTATGGTCACAAACTCTCCTATGCCTCCTCTCTATCATTCCCATCTTCTGCTTCTTCACTCAAGACTTCCATTTTTGCCAAGGTATATGCATTTTGTTGGCTTCTTCATACTATGTTTGGATCTTGAATTTGTGAATAATTCATTCAAGACTTCCACTTTTCCTGCCTTTTCTTTGTCCTCTACCAAGCCCTTTCCAAATCCAAAATACATACACAAATCTTATGCATTGTACGTGTAATTGATGTCTTATATATAATAATTGTGGGTATGTATTTGTTTAAAGGTAAACAAAGGTGGGGTGCCTCCAAACTTTTCACTGAAAGATCAAGATGGAAGGAATGTGAGTCTCTCCAAATTCAAAGGAAAACCTGTGGTTGTCTACTTCTACCCTGCTGATGAAACTCCTGGTTGCACCAAACAGGTACTCTTCCATTTCTCTTCCCTTTTTCTTTTCCCTGTCTTTCCCTCCATGCTGTGTTTGGATTTGGATAAGAATTTATGGAGGGAAAAGGAGAAGAGGAGGGAAATGTAAATGAAATATACAAGCTAGATTTTTTTCACATTTCCCTTCACTTTTTTTATATAATTTTTTTTTTTTTGTTTTCCGTCTAAAAGTACCTAATCAAATCCAAAATCCAAACACAATCCTAATGTTACAGTAGTTATAATTCAGTGTTAAGACTTCCAAGTTCTGGAACTTCCTGGAAATCATAACAAAATCATCAAAACATTGTGCAAATCACTACATTTGACCAATAAATGCGTAATAAGAATTTGTCCACTGCATATACACAGATATGTTTGTATGCTAGTGATTCTTTTATTGTTGACTGTGAATTTAGTTTTGCTAGGGACTGATTCCGAAATCACTTTGCATGTGTTTGGTTTACTAGAATAAGACTAGAATGGAATTGTCATTCCATTGAAATGTAGGTAAAAAAAGAAAGGAATTTACATTGCAAATGGAATCACCATTCACCCATTTAGGAGAATGGCAGTTCTGTTGGTAGGCCAAGAAATAGTCATTCCATTTCTGCTTGAAATCATTCCAACAAACCAAACTCTACCTTAGAAACTGGAAAATTCTTTTGAAATAATTCCAACAATTCTTGGGACTTCATTATAATCATGTAAAAATTATTTTTTTAGTACCTTCCTAGAAAATGGATCATACACCAGATGAGCACAGATGAGCTAGTACTCTCAATTCAACCAATAATGTTTGTTTTTTGTCTTTTTTTATTTTTTGGCAAGAAATAATATACTGTTCCAATTCAAAGCCTTATTTTGGCGATTTTGAGGTGCTACTGTCTGATTAAACTAGTGAATTTCTGTAAGCACTGAGAGTTACTAGCTTTGAATGAAGATTTCTCAAAGCAGCCTCTTAATATAAAGATGCTAATGAATTTATGAATCTTTGTATGCACAGGCGTGTGCTTTCAGGGACTCTTATGAAAAGTTCAAGAAAGCAGGAGCTGAGGTTATTGGAATCAGTGGTGACGACCCCTCATCGCACAAGGTAATATCGACAAATGCATTTCCTGGACACTGCAGCTGAAACAACTTTGGTATCTCTGATTGTTTAACCAATCAGTTCAGAGGAAACACTGCAGTTTTTTTTTCCCCCCCTTACACTTGTTTGGTTATAATCAGTCCATTTTTTCTTCTAAAATTCTGTTGCCAGCATTTGTTTAATTTGGAAGTAATAATGCTACAAAATAGCATCGATGCATCTTGGGCGCTTGATGGCCCCGTCAGATGCACCTTTTTTCTTTTTTCTTTTTTTCAAATTGAGAATTGTGATGAATTAATATATTTGACACAACCTAATCAGTCGCCATTCTGTTTAAATTAAATGTTAATTTTCTGCATTTTAAGCCAATGGAGAATTCTTAGAATTGTGAATTTTATTGTTACTACTTGATGAAAGCATGTTTCAAGTTCCTTTTGCTTTGGCAAACAAATGTTCATTGATCCCTTTCTCTTTTTCTGTTTATTTACTTTCTCATTTTTTGGTAGGAGAAAAAACATGTTAAATTTTTCTCAATACCCTCCTCTGTTATGTTATGCTTCAACATATACATACCATTTTTTTTTTCTTGTTTTACTTGTAACAACAGAACTTCAACAAAGCAAGTGAGCAAATCTGTCTAATGTTTTTACATTTTCTTCTTACAATTTAGCTTGTGGTTGATGAAAATTTTGGATGGATATAGGCTTTTGCGAAGAAATACAGACTTCCGTTCACATTGCTCTGCGATGAGGGTAACAAGATCAGAAAAGAGTGGGGCGTACCATCGGATCTGTTTGGAACATTGCCCGGAAGACAGACCTACGTTCTTGACAAGAATGGGGTGGTTCAACTTGTCTACAACAACCAGTTCCAACCCGAAAAGCACATCGATGAAACCTTGAAGTTACTTCAAAGTCTTTAAACCTTTCTTAATTTGAACTTGTCTTACTTCCTCCTCCCCCCTTCACTCTCTTTCTCTGCGAGTTATTCTTATTTTCTTGAATTTAGATAATCGATTTCTTGATTTCTCTTATGAGTTTGGGCCTTGTGAGTCGTGTATATGTTATGTGCAACCATTGCAGTTATTAGTTGAATCAGGGCCTTTCCCTTACAAAATTCATGAAAAGGGGATGATTCTGCTCTATGCCACCTGAGTACTGTGAAATGTAAGCAATGAGAAGTCAGAGATTGGTTAGCCTTTGTGCAGTTTAGTTTTCGGGGTTAAATTGTAGCAATCCACAACTAGGTGGAGCTGAGTGAGTACTTAATCTTGGACCAACCACGTTGCACGAAGAGGGAGCTAGGACAGGAGAGTGAGGGTCCTATAGAAGAGCTTAAGGTTACGAGTGGGAGTGGCAGTGGGAGTGGGAGCAGGAGCGTGGACAGGAGAGTTTAACGTTACAACCAGGAATGGGGGCGAGGGTGAGATCGAGCAGTGAAGCCCCATAGGAATTTTCTGCCACTAATAAGGAACCAAACCATGTATATACTTCTGATGAAAACATAAATTTCTCATTAATTATTTTCCAATAGTACAAATGCTTCATTGATTAAGCACAAGTCTTTATAGCTTCTACGCATTGATATATCTAGCAATTTCTTCCTATAAACATTGGCTCTTCTTTTTTAAATTTGCAATAAAAGATATTAAATTAAATAATAAAGAGGAAATATCAAAAGATGGAAAAACAAGAAAAGTAACTGCAAATCAATAGAATACGAGTGAGACTTGTGCAAAAATGACACAGTTCTCACTTGCACCTAGCTGCACTCCATTGATTTGTAATTATTTTTTCCGCTTATCATTTTTCTGATATTCCCTTGATAAGAAATCACTTAAATAGATATAGTTAAAGGCAGAAGTGTAGCGTCATAGATTTATTTATTTTTCTCCTCATAATCTTGACTGTTATACGGGCTAAATGCTTCGGCGAGCCAACTCTTCTTCCTCCAAGAAGTCCATCCCATCTCTTCGCAGATTTCGTCGCTGTGGTTGATACTGAAAGTCGAAATGCAGCTTCTCTTGTAGAAGCGGGTTGCTCTTTTCATGATTTCCAGCTCTTCAGTTGTTTGCTCAAGCATCTTCTCCACAGCTGGGAGCTTAAAATGATCATTTACAAGTCGAGCCAGCCATTTGCACCTCAACTCTGCAGTGTGCAGATTCGAAACACTCTCAATGTAACCGACAAATGCCATGTTGGGAATCAATGGATGGATCGTGCCCCTGACAGTGAAACAAAACTCATGTTGTCATCATCGCATTTTTCACAATATTTTTCAAAACATTTTGTTTTCAAAAGCACATTTTGTTTACCTGTACAAGGGCATCATGCCAGAGTAATACTCAATCAAACTGCAAAAAGGCTCGGGGATTATGGCTTTGAGCTTTTCCTTACCATCAAAACCGGTTGCTAGGATCACAACATCAGCTTCCAACTTGGTATTGTCTTCAAATTCAATTCCTTTCTCTGAAAACCACCATCTTGATGCTTTTTTGAATGCAATCTTTCCTTTGTCAGCCTCGGCGAAGAAATTTTCAGGGAGAATAGCCATCTGGCAAGATGCATAGTCTTCTTCAAAGGGGTGGTCTGGCCTCAATCCATACTTGTCCAGTGGAAGCTTCCAAGCCAAATAGGACTCGATGATTTTCGACACAGCTTGTCTCTGTCAAAAACGAAAATCAAAGAGCCATGATTTTAGCAGTACAGATCTATTATCAAATTGTAGCTAGAAAATAATGAGATACTGTTTGTTTGTAAGAGAAATTTGAACATACCGCGGGAGATAATAGGCGGCAAAGGAAGTTTCTAGGGAAGCTCTGGTTGGGTCTTTCATGGAGGAACTGAGAAGATCTTGTGGAATAGAACATGTAGAAGGGTAAGCCCCAAATCCAGTAATGTGGAACAGTCCAATGCAGGGTCCTGATCACCATGGTGCATGTCTGCCCATCTGATCCTAATATATAATACCAATTCAAACAACAAAATCATTACATAAAAACCTCAACTTCTTAATCATTATAAAAAAAAAAAAAAAAAAAAAAAAGGATATAGGTTACTAATGATTTGATGGAGGTGTGTAAACGGTTGGATTTAGTTCGATCGAAGTTTTGCGTGTCAGTTGTTGATTTATTATAAAGGGCAAATTCACATAAAAATTTAAGGATTTTATAGAAACTGTCGAAAAAAGGGTGGGGTTATTCTATAAATGCTTTTCTCTTTTAACTTTCACTACAAAACATGCTAAATAATTCTCTTACTCAAAGAATTATAATATAATAAGTATATTTAAATGTAGTAATTCAATCAATTCAGTTGGTATTGAATAAAAATTCTCAAAATCAAAACAAACGGTATCTTATGAAAATTTCAAATTTCAATTAGTCTCACGTGGTCAATTCAATTTTATTGAATTTTTTTTAGAATGAACCCAATTTAAAGTAACATATATGTGTCATCATTTTAATGATTTTTATTTTTTTTTATAAAGAAATAAAAATATTAAATAATAAAAAGAAGAAAATAAATTAAGGGGTTGTTTGGGATGTTCTAAATAAGTGCACTTTTTGACTTTTTGGACTAAAAAGTAGAGGAAAAAAATATGGTTGTTTGTGTTAATTTTTTGACTTTTTATAGAAAAATGTGTATTAAAAAATTGTATAAATTATCATCATTTTAATGATTTTTATTTTTTTTATAAAGAAATAAAAATATTAAATAATAAAAAGAAGAAAATAAATTAAGGGGTTGTTTGGGATGTTCTAAATAAGTGCACTTTTTGACTTTTTGGACTAAAAAGTAGAGGAAAAAAATATGGTTGTTTGTGTTAATTTTTTGACTTTTTATAGAAAAATGTGTATTAAAAAATTGTATAAATTAGTGTGTAGGGGAAAATTAGGATTGAGAATTGTGCAGCCGTAATTTTTGACTTTTGGTGGATAGTGATAACTTTTTAACTTTTTGAGTAACTTTTTGACTTTTTGTCTTTTGGGCAACTTGCCAAACTTGACCTAAATTATCTCAAGAAACATGTAGTTCTTCCTTAATTTTCAAGTTCACATGTTGAAGATAAATCAAATTTTCTTGAGCAACATGTAATTCTTCCTTAATTTTTAAGGTCACACATGTTGAAGTTGATTTTGTTAATTTTTTATTTGGTCATGTTTGGATACACACTTTGTGTTCTGAAGAGAATTTTCAAGATTGACCAAATAAGGAAATGAAAACCCAGATGTTTGTGTGGATGCTGAGAAATTTTCTCATACGTAGTTTTAAATTCTCTCTCCATTGTCCAAACTTGGCATAGTATAATTCTATAATAAAAAATAATAAATAAATAAATTAAAAACATGAGTATACAATGGTCAACACATCACATGCTTCATCGTCTGTTCTTTTGGTCTGTCACACACTTCATTAATTGTCTATTTGATGGCTTGACCAAAAATGGCCTTTTCTCACTCAACTCTCTCTCTCTCTCTCTCTCTCTGTCTCTCTCTCTGTCTAATGACTTTCTTGAGAAACAAACACAAGCATGTAACATGTTCCACATTCTCGTGGAAATTCTTACGCAATCATTTGTATAATAACTACAATTTTTGGTCAACTATAAAAGGACAAATTAAAACCCAACAACCAAAGAAAAAAAGCTACGGACCCAAAAAATTACTAACAAAAACTGGAAATTGATTCACAAACAAACAGAATTTTTGTATGGAAGCCCAGTAGCATGATGTGGTATTGTTAAATTACAAATTTATGAGCAATAATAGTTGGTGTTCAGTTTAAAATGAAAGGACTATAAGAGCATTCACACCAAACTCTTTAATCTTTTTAGTTAAATTAAAGTTATTTCATTATTTTAGTTACTCACCTTTTAGCACCTACTGCATCAAACTCTTTATTCTGACTTATTCTTATTAAATATTATTTTCTTATTATGTTTGTTAGTCTTGTTTTTTATATTAAATTAATAAGTTAGCAGCCAAACAATTCTTTAAAAAAAAAAAAAATTTGCCGTTGACCTGTTGACCGAGCGGACATCTGGTAACACACAAATAGCGATGAACAGTGCCTCATTTATTGTAACAAGTTACTGTACCGATCGTAAATTTTGACGAGTTTCATGCGAGTTTGATGCTGCCTCATTTTTGAAGTTTTTAGCTAAAAAATAAAGTTTGAAGAGCTTGATGAGGATGCTCTAAAAAATTGCACCACTTTGTACAAAAATTATGTTTGCATAGTATTTAGTTTTTTGAATTCAATTTTTTGAAAATTGAGTTTTTTATTTTTCGTGTTTTATTGTTTTTAGTGAATATTTTTAAAATTTTAAGCAATTTTTTTTACTTTTTTAGATATACCTTACTGAGATTTATCTAAATAATAAAATATTTGTGAAAAAATATTTTAAAAAATTAATAAATACACAAAAATCTGAAAAATGTACTGAATTTTCATAATTTTTTTTTATATTTTTGGTATTTAGTGATATTTTTTAAAGATTTTTTTTCATAAATATTATACTTAGGCATGTCTAAAAATTAAAAAAATTACTTAAAATATTTAAAAAATTTAGTGAAAATAAAAAAAATACAAAAAATAAAAAAATAGAATTTTTTGAAAAATAAATCCTGAAAACTGAAACTAAACAAAGTGATTATTATTCAAAAAAAGGATGTGGTGACCATGCCACACACTAAGGCTTTGTTTAGTAATTTTCAAATAAGCTGCTTTTTGGTTTAAAAAATCAAAGTAAAATGTTTGTTTCATTTGGCTAAATAAGTAAATTCCACATAAAAAAATATAACTCTATTGAAAATTCCTATAGATATCGGGCTCAATACTTTGAAAAATTCTACCTTGTTTCTTTCCTTATGTTAACAATAATTCCACAACACTAGGTTTTGTTTGAGAATATATTATTTTAATACTTTTTTATTTTTTAATTAAAATATGACGTAAAAAGAATTAGTATTTTAAGATTGATTTTTACGAAAAGATGTGTAAAAAGTAAAGAGAAATGAGAATATTTGATTTTTTGATATAATTTGTTGGTTTTTTATTTTTTTTAAATGATTTTTAACTTTTAAACTAAAATTGAATGTTGCCAAACGAGACCTAAGGATTATGATCACCCATTTCTCATAAATTCAAACATTTATATAAAAAAAATTTACAACAAAAATAATAATATTTTTTTAATTACCAAATATACCAACTTTTTTTAGATTCTAAATATATATATATATATATACTAAAAAAACAATTGCTAAATTCCAATGGAGCAAAATAATGCAAGAGTTCAATGGAGCAAATGTTTGTAGAGGATTGAATAATCCCATCGAAGCAAAATGACTTGGATATAAAAAAAAAAAATTAAAAAGCAAAAACAAAAGCAAATCTCTATTGAACTAATAAGAGTCTCACATAACTTTGAATCTTTAAACGTTCTCTTTAACTCGTCAAATACGGAGACAACAACGTCAACAATATTATTATTAATATTTTTGGTAAGAAAACACATGGGGAGGTATTGTTGATTAAACTATAGCAACTTAGCGAGAAGAATCATGACTATGTGGATGCCCTTCTAAGACACATTAAGTTAAAACCATCTCACGCGGATAAGAGCAAAAACTAGAGTATTTATAATCTAGTAACTATAAAAATTTTGTAGCAACATTTTTTTATACAATTAATTTGTCACTAGTCAGATTGTCTGTTTGCACGTATTTTTGACAATAAAAAATAAAAAATAACACACTAATCACATAATAAGTTGACTTAATCGATTGGGATCAATCATTATCAAAGATAAATATTAATTACCGCTCCTATATTATGAGGTTATATTGTGCTGTTGAACTATAATTGTCCAATTTGATGTAATAATTATCATATTCGTAATTAATCTTATATTAACTGAAGAAAAAAAGAAATCGACTTGACCCATCTTAAACAGCTAAGTGAAAGGCAAAGTACACCCATTCAACCCTTTTGTGTGGGCATTATTAACCATAGCATATAGATCAAGGTTTGAGATCTTATGTTTTTATATTTTTATATTCTCATGTCTTAAAACTCTCAGTGATTAAATAATGTCTTTAGATTTTCGCATCTTAAATTATCTTACGTGTATGTTTTAAGACAATAAAATATAAAAATTTGGAGACTGAGGTTACTAGACCTTATATCTATTATGTATTGTGTAGTGGTGAGTGTGTGTGTGTGTGTGTGGATCTTAAAGCATTAGTTACCTTGGTTTGCTTCAGCACATTCAAAAGCAAGATCAATAGCTGATTTCTTGTAGCCAATGACTGCAACCTTTTTTCCTTTGAGTAGTTTTGTGGAAGCTTCTCTGTCGAGTTTGCAATAATCAAGGGAATGCAAGACCTGCCCCTTAAAGATTTCAGGGCCTTTGTTGTGTGGAAATTCTGGTATTTTTGGAACATCGCCATATTTCCCAGTGCAAATCACAAGAAACTCAAAAGCATACCACTGCCATCAAACAAATTAACATAACAAAAATCAGCACAACAACCTTAATAACACACGCACATATACTAAAAGAGTTCACACACTGCGTGCAGGTGTGTGTAGTTGGAACTGTTGTTGAGCTCGTGACCTAGAAGAGAGAGGTGTGTAGTATTTGGTTGATCGATTTTATGTTTTTTTTTGTCTGGTACTTTTTGAGAATCAAAACTGCGTGACAAAATGTTCACACTAAGTGAAGAATAGCTATGTGTGTGTGTGATAGTTTGTCTCACATGCATAAATACAAGTATGCATGCACACTTGATCATGAAGTCATCAATTTTGTTTTGAAGAAGGCTTAATTCTCCAAGAGAAGAAGAGCGGGATAAATTTGATCATACTATGAAAGTAATATTATATAAACAAAAATTATGAATACATAATGACGTGAAATTGTTGATTTTATAATTTGAAGCTTAAGCCCATATAAGTGGCTTAAAAATTAAAAAATGTCACTGTTACATAATTTTGAACAAAACTTCGGTGTTGAAATTATGTGAGAATAGGCTTTTCCTAATGCAAATTTTTCTCCATTAATATGGAAGACATATGATTCTACAAAAAAATAAAAAAGTAAAAACGTAAAAAAAAAAAAAAGAAGAAAAAGAAAAAATCTAATGAAAATTCTCCATTAATATGGAAAGCATAGGAATCTACAAAATATATATATAGAAAAAAAAATACAATAAATTTATACAAAATGATATAGTTGAGTTGTGGCTTATCACTTTAAAACAAGGGAGAATTACACTGATATGGTGTCAATGAAAAATATTTATAAAAAGTAAAAAATATTATAAATATTAATAATTATAATTATAAATTTTTTCACCTTTTATAAATAATTTTTTTCTGATCCGCTGATATGTTATTGTCCCTTAAAACAAAATTCGATAGGATTTTTTTAGTTGCAAATTAGAATAGTCACTATAACATCATTGTAATGAAAGATTTTCTACAAAAATTCTCAAAACATTGTGTATTTATTTCACTAGTTAGGCCTCGTTTAAGAATATGTTATTTTAATAATTTTTTGATTTTTTATAAAAAAAATATGTAAAAAAATAAAGAGAATGATATGATAATTTATAATAATTTTTTAACTTTTTAACTAAAATATATAATTGACAAACGAATTCTATAAAAGTTTTTAAAAAATAAAGTATCACTTTCATTTTCTAGTCACTTTTCCAATATTTTCATAGGGCTGTAAGATTGTTATCCCCCAATTATGATTTTGCCATCATATATTGATCATATATTGATCGATATCAAATAATATTGACTCATATATCAATAATTAATAATATCAAAAATTGAATAATATCAAAAACATAAAATCTCATTACTTATCGGCCACGACCCCACCCACCTCCTCCCTCCCCTTTGACATTTTTGTATGTTCTTGTCATATGATTCAAAAATACCCCACGTCTTAAGTACTGTCCTTTAAAGTGTACGCCATATTCATTTGAAAAATCATGAATCAGCTGACACAACTTTATTCCCTAAAGGAGAGTAAAAATTGTCAATCACCGAAGATGAAATTAAGTTATCTTTTTCGAAAAGGACGGTGCTTTGGATGTTTTTGAAATCAAAGTTTATAGGTTACAGGGAGAACAACCACCTGAACAGTCTCCGACTGGTCGGTCCGAACAGCGACCTCCCATACCGGATGTCCTGGCAACAGACTCCCAAACTCTCCCGGATTACCACCATGATCAGACTCAGTGGTTTTCTTGTCACCGACAAACTGGATTTCCACCACCTTCGAGTTGAACATGACGAGCCTCAACAAGTCAAAGTGCCTAGCATATGAATACAAGTATTCCAATATCTCCTCCGCGGATGGGAAGCTTGAATTGTCTCTCTCCGGCCAAGGATAGTCGGAGAACTCGTAATCGCAACGAGGGGTCTGGAGTTTCGTAGACCTGAAAGAACAGTGCTTCCAGACCCCTCCAAGTGAACCGGTGGCCTCAAAGACCACCGGATCGTAACTGGAGAGCTGTTTAGCAGCAGCTAAGCCGCTAATGCCGCCTCCGATGATACCGATTTTGGAGAAGATAACCATTTGTAGTTGAATTTAGGGTTTAGAAAATGAAGAGAGAGAGAGAGAGAGAGAGTTGAGAGAGTTAAGCTTGAGAGAGATGTGTCTAGCAACGTAATATGTTGAGAAGTATTTATAGAGGTAGTGCATGTGGGTCACGCTAGGAGCACGTGACATGGACTTTGAGCTCTCTTGAGAGAGAGAGAGAGAGAGAGGGGTACAGGTCGATGAAGGGAGTGTGTGGGGGATGTGGGAGATGACCAATTCTTTTTCGAAATGTTTATTGTATTATATATTGTGTTTTGTTAGTTACAACAGGTTTAATAACACAAAAATCTCTTCATGTCTCTGGCGTTACCGATATTTTATATTTTATTATCTATTTAATTTTATATTTATAGCAAAATTGGGTTTTTTTTTTTTTTTATCAGCACAAAACTGGGTATTTGATGATGGAAATAGCCATCCAAAATGCTCACTGAGTCACTAGAAAATGAATTAGAATTTTAAATTTAAACTTCTTATCCTTGTCATTTATATATATATATATATATATATATCTATATACATATATATATCTCGGCAAAAGTTGAAAGTTGTTAGATTGAGATCTACGAAAATTAGCCTTTCCACCCTTTGCCAATCACCAAAAGCTTACTTTCTTAATTCAACTTCCTCTAAAGAGAATTGAATTCATAACCTCTCTCTAGAACTAAACTCTTTGAAAAGTTATGATAACCAACTAGTCTAAGCCTAGTTGGTTTGCAATGACACATCTTCAATGAAACTTCTTCATACATTTAGATTCAAATTATTATTCTGTGTTTATTTTATTTTTTTTTGCCTTTTCAGCTAACTATATAGTATTTTTGTTTGCTAATTACATGATCAATTCACATGGAAAGCAATATGAGTCATGTATGATGATACAATTCAATACATACATTAATCTGAAATTTGGTAGTTATAAGGTGGAAATTTCGCAGGTTTTCTTTTGGTGATTTGGTAGTTATTTGGTGATTTACTCTGTAGTTTCAACTCTTAATTTTGTGTATATCATTTTTTTATTTTCAGTCGACATACGCGGTACAATACATGTTGATGAACATGTCTTTTGCCTAATCCCATTTTTTTATTTATCATTTATGTTAATGAAATCAATTTTAAATTTAAAAATATCATAGTTATGATATAATGGCATTTTTTTTTTATTCCATTGAAGTAGTCAAAAACTAACAGTGTAAAAGATATATATATATACATATATATATACTTCTCACACTAAGTCCTCTCTGCTATTTGATTTTATTGCTCTTAACATCTGAAAATTATTAGAATGTTTAACGCGCAAGTCAAACAATATTAATGTTCATGGTCATTTTTTTCCTTCAAATGTTCATTTTAATATGTTGTACTCTAACTATAAATGAGGTTGAATAAGTACACACACACAAATGCATATCATTACATATTGAGCAATACTATACCGATATAATTTTTGTACAAAATTTCGTACAAAATAATATTGTGTTTTGGAATCTTTTTAATTAATACTCATTAATTAATCACTTATACAAGTTAATAAATCTTTGAGAAGAATTAAAAATCTTTTAGTTAGAGTACAAACGTTAACTTTTTTAAATAAAACAAATTATGTATGGGTAAGAACCTATTAGTAGAATTAAAAATAAAAATGTTAAAATTTCAAAATATGATAGATAATGGGATTAGAAAGAAAAATAAAAATATTATTAGGTCAAGCAATATTAGCTTAAAGTAAAAAATTTAAAGTATATGATTGTCCTTAATCTTTATTTATTTTATTTTATTGCTAATGGGATTCAAACTCTAACCTAATATATATGGTCCATTTAATTTTACTTTATAAACTTCATTCATCAAATAAACTTTTAATTGCAACCACCCAATTCACATAATTTTGTATGATTTAGTTAAATTACTTTAACATTGAAGTTATTTTAATTTTCTATCGATAATTTTTTGATCAATAGAAGAAGAAATTTTATCGATGAAATCAACGTACATACAGTACATTTTTTTATGTATATAAGAATAAGATTTACCTATTTAAATGTATATCTATCAAATTACAACACATTTTCATTTCCATATCAATCCAACCCATATTTTTGTCCCATATTATGATGGAGAATGGATGCAAGAAAGATATGTTTATCTACATATGTCGTTTAGATGGAATATAAATTTATAAGAAAGATTTAATAAATTCCATAAATTCTATAAGTCTTCAACAATACACTCTATAAATTCCACATTCTTCGGTCTATTAATAAATTCCATGGTTTGGGAAGAAAAAAAATAAAATAAAAATGTGTAATGAGAAACTTCATGTGTTAATCAATTTATAAAAAAGGTTGGGTGCAACTAATTTCACCGGCATTTTAAAAACATAAGAGCAACTAGAGTGTCACATGAGTTCCAATGAGGGATAACAAAAATTTGAGTAAACTCTACTTTTATTGCTTTATATTAGCCTGTTTGGTAGAGCTGTGGAAAAGTGCTTATAGCTTATGCCTAAACAGTTTATAGCTTATAACTTTCAACTTATGCTGATTTCCAGCTTATTCTTAAAGCATCTCCTGCCCTACTCAAAGAATAAACTGATTTCTGACTTCCACAAAGCTATAAGCTATAAGTATAAGCTATAAGTTAAACCAAACACATCAAAATAGCTTAAATTAAGCTGAAAGCTGAAATAAGCTATAAATAATTTCTGCCAAACAGGCACATTAGATAGATTTAAATCAAGATTTGAGAAAAACAAATGTTGACATCTAAGTAAATGGATTGAGCTTTCAGAAAGAAGGGGAGATGAATTTAAAGTAGTTGAGTTCTATACATTTCTTTTTTTTTTATCAGCGAAAAAGCAAGTTTTATTGATAAAATTCAATGTACAAATCAAACATTGAAAGTAAACATCAATACAACTGAGGCAAATTCTAGATTTTTCTCTTAATATGAATGTCTGTAATTTTCTGTGTAGAGTAATTAATTTCAATTAGAGGCAAATGTTTAGGATCTGTTCAGTAACCATTTCGTTTTCAGTTTATATTTATAAAAATTTTAAAAATTGTCATAAAAACTTGTTTGATAATTTTTTTGGTTTATAAATTGTTGTCTCAGTTTATAAATTTGAAGAAAAAACGTAAACTCATTTTTCAGTTTTCAATGTTTTTTTTCAATTATTTTTTTTTCAAATAATTTTTTTTTTCAATTAATTATTTTTTCAAATATTTTTTTCCAATTAATTTTTTTTTTCAAATAATTTTTTTTTCAATTCTTTTTTTCCAATTTTTCTTTTCAATTAATTTTTTGTTTCAATTAATTTTTTTACTTAATTTTTTTCAATTATAATGTGTGTGATCCCATTGTCATAAATAATAAAAATAAATATAAATATTTTAGGCCTGAACAAATATATTTTTTAGTTTATGTTTTGAAATTTTTTTAAATATTTTGTTCAAACCAAACGCGTTTGTAATTTATGTTTTTGTAAAAATAAACAAAAATCAATTTATAAAATTTTTGTAAACATAAATAAAAAATGTAAACGATACCAAACCCTACCCTAGTAAATGGTGTAAGCTTTTAAAGAGAAAGGGGGACAAGGGTTTCTATATTTCTTTCTTTTTTTCATTTATTTATTTTTGTCTACAATGGTTGAGTGTTTGAAGAGTGATAATTCTAAATGGAGTCCTCTAATGTAATTTTAAATTAATTTTCTTTGTAAAGTAATTGAGTTGAATTAGAAAAAGGAGAAAATGTAACATGTGTTTATCTATTTCTTACTATCTTTAAGACGTAACTTTTCCAAACAAAACAAGAATGGAAATTAGTTATTTCAACATCAATTTCACTTAAAGTATCCACAATTGACTAATTATTTCTCTTATTTAGCTATTTTAGCTAGCTCAAATCCTTATTTCATCATGATAGTCTAGCAAAGGGTTGGCTAAGTTGGCATTGTGCTACAATACCTAACCAAAAGTAAGTAGGCATTGTATACTAGCTCAACAAATTTTATCAATTTATTCCTTGCTTATTTTTTTCGTTGGTAAGGCTAAAGTATTTTTCTTTTATAGAAAAAATATTTTAATGAAGATAGTTAAAATAGAGAATATTTTTGGACTATATATAGCAAAAGTGACTAGCTAAAATTTAAATAATAATAATAATAATGAATTTGGCCTGCTATTTTGACTAACCATTGTTGGAAATGCTCTTAGGGCATCCACACATAAAAAAAATTTGTGCCAATTATAATTCAAAATGCCAATTTTATATTTTATGTAGCTTCTTTTTTTTTTCTTTTTTCTTTTTTTAAATCACCATCCATTAAACTCTCTATTCTAACTCTATTTTATTAAAAATATATTTTATTATCCATTCTCTCAACGAACTGAATTGGAAAAGTCAAAAATATTGTGATCAAATCTATCAAAAATGATAAATTATTAAATAACTAATGAATAGTAGTATCTCAACAAATTTGTTGACATACTGGTCTCTTTTGGAAAGTTGACTATTTTAGTAGGCTATTTTAATTTTTCACTATTTTAGTATGTTAAATTATTTGTATTTGGGAAGATAGTTGAATTTTTTTGTAGTTTGATAGGATGTTTGTGAGAGAAAAAGTAAAATGGTTATGGATTTGATGTAATATTTTGTCTTATTAGCTATTTAAAAAAAAAAAGAACACTTTACCAAAGTAATTATAAATAATAGCTAGTTATAGAATTATTTATTTATTTTTTTAGGTGGGGAGAATTAGTTTGTTGAAATCGATGAAATAGTGTTTACATGGTTTATTAGCTATAATTACTCAAAAAGTAAATTTGCCAAGATTGATGTAGTTTTTTTTTTTTTTTTTGATATGTTAATGGTCTTAAAGCGTCTCCAACGTGTCATTTTTTTGTATGTACAAAATTAGTGCTCTAACGTTAACATCAAATTAGTATCAAATTTAGGATATCTCAAATTTTTTATCAAATTGACGACACTGAAACCTTTTACCAAATTATTGTAGATAACTATTAGCTTTACAAGTGGGTG